TCAAAAGGTAGATAAACACTTTGGAAGTGTCCAATGTGTTGCAGCCTGTAAACATTTGTTGACCTATTCACCAAGTATCTGGTCAGATGGACTGAACATCAGCAAATGGAATTTAATCCTGAAAAATATGATATGATGCATTTTAGGAAGACTAACATGGCAAAGGAGTATCTTGAATTGGAGAACACTAGGAAGTGGAGAGGATCGGAAATTGATTCATGCAAGCAGCAAGACAGGCAGATAAGGTGATTAAGGAGGTATGTGGTATATTTGTTTTTATTAGTCAAAGCATTGATCCAAGAACAAGGAGGTTATGATGGAACTGTGTATAATGCTAGTTAGACCAAAGCTGGAATAAAGCTTGGTGTGCTGTTCTGGTCGCCACACTATTGGAAGGATGGGATTGCACTAGAGAGGATGCAGAAGAGATTCATCAGGATGTTGCCCAGGCTAGAATTCACCAAGAAGGGAGACTAGGTAGGCTGTGATCATTTTTCTTGGTGAGGTTTTTGGGGATTTGAAGGAAAATGTCATCCAGATGCAATGGACATCTTGAACTCAGTGCCTGAAAGGGAGGTAGAGGCAGGAAGCCCCTAAATATTTATGAAGTACTTAGATGGGTACCTAAAAACCAATAGCTATCAAGACTACAGGCCAAGTGATAGAAAATAGGATTAGAATAGCTGGATGATTGATGACTGGCGCAGACACAATGGGTCGAAAGATTTTTTTTTCCTCCTGTGCAACCTCTAAGACTCTAAGCACTTAGAAGTGTAAATACGTGTATTAATTAATGACACTTCTGTTCTAAATAGAGTGTAGTCTGTAATGTAGAAACATAGCGAATAAAATTATATTTTTTATCTTATGTGTATTGGTATTTATGGTTATTCAGAATTAGCATGTTGGGTGAATGGGAGAGGGGATGGGTGGAAATAGAGACCCAGCATAAGAGATAATCATGGGAGATGGATAGAAGTTATTAGGTTATAAGGGTTAAAATGAGTAGGGCATGGGAAATGAGTGAGGCTGATGTGCAGTGAGGGGTGAAAGGAATTGTTTTATATTTCCCTTCTTTTGGAGAGGTAAGGTTCATCTTTGAATCTGGTCCTGGGAAACATTTGTTGGAGATAATCTTTTTGGAAAAGTAAGTCACTGTTTGGAATTGTGAAAAAGCATACTTATGCAAAAACAGTACACAAGGTGTCACACATAGCTCCTATGTGCTCTAAGAACATTTTCTTTTCCTTGCCCTCCCTTCTGTCGAGGTGCAGCCCTGAGATCTGCATCTATCGTGCAGGGAGTTGTTATGAAGTGGGCTCTCTTATTCCTGCAAAATGTGGGTAGATGACCCCAGGGGCATTTGTGCTAGAGATCCCAGGTGGGCTGAGAACATCCAGTCCAAATGCAGGCTCACCCTCATCAGCTGCAACTTCTCCAGGGTTGGGATTGCAGACAGGGGTAGAGATGGAAAGACTTGGCACCTGTGAAGTGTCCTGAGAGGAGGAATTTATGGTTCCACCTTCATATGGGTGCCCACTGGCACCATACTGACCATTTGAGAGGAAGGATACGTGGAGTGAGGTTGAGATCTCTTGTCACTTTCTTGCCTTGCTACTGATGAGTACCAATAACTGCAACAATGGATTGGAGTATCCATGGATTTCCAGCAGCTGTTGAGCATTCAGCTGGACCTGGCTTTCTATGGCAGCCTCAACATAGACATGCCAGAGCACTGTACTGATACTCTTGATAGTCTCCTCCAACATTCAATTCTGTTTCCTGAGTGTCTCTGGCAAACCTGCCTGTTATTCCTGTGACTGTCTGTGCATTTTCAGAAAGACATAGGGTCATCTTCTACTTTGGGATGAGCAGATGTCTAGTCTCTGCCAATGCTCTGAATGCGTGACCAGCTGTGGTGACACAACAGTGATATGTTCATCAGACTGTGTTGTTCAGTCAAATCCAGAAACAGTGCCACTGAGGTGAAAGTCTGTGAGTTGGTGAAAGGTCCAGGAGGGATCTTGCCAATGCATCTTATGTGGAATCTGTGGCTTCTTCCTCAGAGGTGGAGGAGGAGCTGATGTGCTGAGGAGCTGGCTATTTCAGGTGCCACCAGGGTTGTGTAAGTGAAGAGAGGGCATGAATTATTCAATGAGGGCAGAAGCTTAAACATCTTAAGAATAAGTGAATACTGATAGTAATGGGAGAGCAGCACACAATAAAGCTTACTGTGTTACCTCGACATGGAGGGCTTGACATCCACACATGAGCGGTCCCTGTTCTGTCCAGCCATCTCAAGAATCATCGCCTAATTTTGGGCTGAAGAGCTGAATGTTGGCCACCCACCACTCACCTTGGCCCTCGCTGCCCAGTTATGGGACATCTTCTCCTAAAATGTGACAAAAGGAGGGTTTGAGTAAGATGAAAGTGGAAGAGTGGTTAGTAGTAGTGAACAAGCAGCAGAGGTGAGCAGATGTCCAAAGTAAGAGAGTTGGATATGTAGAGGATGTGAAGAGTATGTAATGTGTAAGAGCGGTGACTGGAGATGCTGCGTGCAATGTTGAGAGTTGTAGAGCAATAATCTTGTTGCTCTTGCTGTGTAGCAGCTGTTAAAGTGAGTATGAGGAAGCAGAGGCAGGGTGGTGTCACTTACCCTTGCATAGCATTCTTCTGGCACTTCTGGGCATTTCTTTTGGTGCATGAAATGGCTTTGACTCAGGCTGCCATCTCAGTCCAGGCTGGCTGTGTCTGATGATATGGTCTCCTTTGAATGTCCACGTGAAAGAGGATGATCTTCCTCTCCAACACCTCATCTTCCAGCACCTCCAGGTCCCGTTCTGTGAAGTGGGGTGCCAGTTTGCCTTTCTGTAACATCTTGTTGATGAAGTTGAAAAAGGAGGGCAGTTTTGGGCTTGCAACATTTGAAGAGGTGTGCAGCTAAGCTTTAATATGATGTCAATGGCCCAAGAGGTGAACACTTGTGCCTCTGTTGCTACATGATTAATGAGAAGGGCATTGTAGAGCCCAGACATATAACTAATAGGGTAAGCAGCAGAAGATTGACTAAGAAAAGTCACCGCAGGCCATAACATGTAAATCCATGAAAATAACACAGTCAAAAAAGTGGGGAAACGCAGCACATAAAATCATTGGGACTGGCAAAGCATCAAGAAATTGTCCAAAAAAAGCATTGAGCTAAAAAATAAACAGCACTAGGTATTTCAGGGCTCTTGCTCACATAAAATCATTATAGGATTTGTGCTGCAGAACTAACTTCCAGCATTTTCACAATGAGGCGCTTATTGATGAACAACTCTAACTGCTTATTGAATAAAATTATTTGTTGACATAAAGGACTGAACATTTCAGTGAAATATTTATTTACATAAAGCCTTGAGCACTTGGGTAAAATGCTTGTGTTCAGAAAAGATTTGTTGAAGCATTTCAATGTTTTTTTGTGTCAATAGACTGTGTTTATTTCAATAGTGACATTATCAGAATACTGATACCTTTATATTGAATTGGGGCGCCCTCCAAAGGTGAGTGTGGAGAATGTGAGTCGGCACTGAGTTGACAATAGGGACTATAAAGGGCCATTGGGAATTTTAGGAGCATACAGGGTATGAGGGGCCATAGGAGATGGCTAGATTTGTATGAGGGCATCAGGGGCCATGGGAGATGGGCAATAGGGTGGCATAAGGATATGAATGTCATTCTGAATAGGTACAGCAGCATAAGTTGGCATTGATGGGCACAATGAGCAAAGGGAGTGAGGGATTGAGTGCAGGAAGTTTATTTTATATTTTTGTCTTTCTTTTTAAGGGCCAACTTCCAATCCAGACCCTGCCTATGAACCAAAAATCGGAAATGCAGTTGGCTATTTTTAAAGAAACAAAACACAAATTGCTGGAGAAACTCAATAAGTCTGGCAGCATCTGTAGAGAGAGAAAGCACAGTTAACGTTTCCAGTCAGTGACACTTCATCAGAATGTCTTCAGGCCCTTCAGTTCTCATGAAACGTTAATTCTGCTTTCTATCTCCACAGATGCTTCCAGATCTGCTGAGTTTCTCCAGCAATTCTTGTTTTCTTTTCAGATTTTCAGCATCTACAGTTCTGTTTTATGTTAGCGATTTTTAAAGATGGGGTTCGCAGAGCCGAGACTTCTCCCGATTGTACATACCTACCCAGGAAAGAAATTGGAGGCTGCAGGCTAGGATACTACAGACCTCTACCTCGATGTGCAGGTAGCAATATTGACTTAAAGCACAAAAGAAAGCAAATATCACAGAGTCATTGAGATAACAAGGTGTAGAGCTGGATGAACACAGCAGGCCAAGCAGCATCAGAGGAGCAGGAAGGCTGACGTTTCGGGTCTGGACATTTCTGAAGAAGGGTCCAGACCCGAAACGTCAGCTTTCCGGCTCCTCTGATGCTGCTTGGCCTGTCATGTTCATCCAGCTCTACACCTTGTTATCTCAGATTATCCAGCATCGGCAGTTCCTACTATCTCACAGAGTCATTTCTAGCCAAGATTATTATTCAGGCAAACATGGACAGCTATTTATTGTTCAGCAAAGTTCTAAACTGAACATGAGCTGAACTATTTCAAAACACGTTTCAACGAAATAAGCCCGAATAAACTTATTGCTACACATAAAATAAGTAGCAAGTAAACTTGTGCAGCCGCAGCAAACTCTGGAGAGTGATAAGTGGATAGATTAATTGACGGGGAGTCATGTGGGAGTCTTAAGCTTCTCCCATGCCTTGATACGGTAAGGGAAAACAAAACCTATTCAGACAGTAGGAAAGCTGTAAATTTAATCAGAAGTCTGTGTTAACAGTAAGTAATTATAAATGACGTCTGTATCCAGCAGATCTTTATTTAACTTATTTGCAAAATCAAACGCCTTAGTTAAGGCTCTGGGGAGATTTCTCCCCTCAGAACACATTTAAAATGGAACATTCCAGATCCTTTTAGAACTATGCAGCACTGTGAGGTTGGGGAGGAAGTCCAACAGCTCACAGGAATTCAGTTATTTATTATTTAACTTTCTGTTCTCAGGGACTTGAGTGAACTGTAAAAATAGAGCACAGTACATAATCTCCCATTGAACACGAAGGAAACCACTAAATCTCTCTGAAAGCCCAAGGGTCGCAGTTCACTGAACTGAAAGGTGAGAAGAGATTACATGCCTGTTACCAAGACGACGATTTCAATCTGCAGACATTTGAGAAAGAAAAAATGGAGGCAGGAATGATTTAACGAGGTTTTTGTGAGAGATAGCACTCATTTCATGGAGTTAAAGAACAAACTTGCATTTTCAACTGCATTCTCCAGAACTATTGTGCCAGATTTCAATGACTTTGTTAAAGTGTATATTTAACAGTTAATTGTTCTCTGTTCTCTCGAGACACTTGGGTTAATCCGACACTCATGCTCCTGTGGAATATGAGTGAGTGAATTAATGGTACAATTTTTCCTGCCTTCTTACCTTGATTCTTATAGCATCCAGCTGATAGTGATGAATTAAGTGACTTCAACTGTTTTCAATGTTATTTTTTAAAGACAGTTTCCCCAATTCCAATTTTCATCATTTGACCGTGGGGTTTGCAGACTAGTATCAAGATAAGCCTGATCCCATCTAACACACATACACACCCCCAGCCAGAATGTTACACTGAGATCAAGATCAGATACTCGAGGCAATGTTTTTATTTGGTACTATGGGGATATATTATACATATAATGACCGGAAATCTTCACCAAGTTTTTTTGTGTTTTGCCGATTCGCAGGCATTATAATTAAAATCTAAATGCCCACTGTATGCACAGGTCACATGTTTTTCATTGGCGATAGTAGGAACTGCAGATGCTGGAGAATCCGAGACAACAAGGTGTAGAGCTGGATGAACACAGCAGGCCAAGCAGCATCAGAGGAGCAGAAAGGCTGACGTTTCGGGCCTAAACCCTTCATCAGAAATGGGGGAGGGGAAGGGGGTTCTGAAATAAATAGGGAGAGAGGGGGAGGCAGATAGAAGATGGATAGAGGAAAGGATAGGTGGAGAGGAAACAAACAGGTCGAAGAGGCGGGGATGGAGCCAGTAAAGGTGAGTGTAGGTGGGGAGCTAGGGAGGGGATAGGTCAGTCCAGGGAGGACGGACAGGTCAAGGGGGCGGGATGAGGTTGGTCGGTTGGAGATGGAGGTGCGGCTTGAGGTGGGAGGAGGGGATAGGTGGGAGGAAGAACAGGTTAGGGAGGCAGGGACGAGTTAGACTGGTTTTGGGATGCGGTAGGGGGAGGGGAGATTTTGAAGCTTGTGAAATCCACATTGATACCATTGATAATAGGAACTGCAGATGCTGGAGAATCCGAGACAACAAGGTGCAGGGCTGGATGAACACAGCAGGCCAAGCAGCATCATAGGAGCAGAGAGGCTGACGTTTCGGGCCTAGACCCCCTGCAGCCCAATGGTATCAATGTGGATTTCACAAGTTTCAAAATCTCCCCTCCCCC